ATGTCGGTGTTCCGGGGTTAAAATTCTCTTAGTAAAAAAGTGTTGAACGGATTCTATTTTCTTCCGCTACACAAAACCATGGTGGTTAGTATAGTAGGTTCCGTCCATCTGCACCAACATTGCATACTGAGCAAGCACGGATTTCAGTGCTAGTTTTGTGAAGCACTCTACTTCCAGCCCATTTTCGTTGTAGAAGAAGTCAGAGTAACAGCCGTCCGTAATCTAATAGAGGATCTCTTTCTTCCCTCTCGCCGATGGCTCGAATACCGGAATGCGCCTTCGCATATTAGCAAATTCCTTCATTTTGTAGTTTATCCCAAATGAACCTACAGAACTGTTTATAAAGAACAAGCTTAATTCTCAAATAAAACTTCAACCGACCGACAGAAGGACTGATCTAAAAACACCTTTTCGGAAAATCTTGGTTGGCTTCGCCCTAAAGGCGGCGGAATTTGGGGTATGCAGACACCAACATCCGGTTACAGATGTGGTTATCCATCAAATATACCGACCTGACATGGAGTTCGCCGCCAAATTTTACCGCAGTGGATCTCGCCGGGCAGCCAAACCGCATTGATCAGACACATCGGCATTTGACTGGAAAACATTCGCTTGGTTCTCCGACTGGAATTTCTCCGAGGACGCCCCCCTCCGTGGATGCAGACGAAGAAGACGTACGTATATTTTAATGTGCTAAATTCAGGGTGGTCCAAAGCAGCATGCAGCCGCGACGTTCTAATTAGTTCTCAGTTCATTTTTTGATTGGATGTGGTCTGCCAGCTGATTGACTGGAGTCAGTCTGTAGCGACCGAGCGAGGGAAGAATGTCGGATCATGGGTTATGAAGGATGGGGATGGCGGGAGCTTGAACTCAGATGGTCGAGCAGATTGGAGAATTCGGTCTGAAAGGCCTTGCATCTCAGAGTGGGCGGGATCAGGATGAACAGGCACACTGGACTTCGGGTAGGCAGCACACGTGATAGAAAGATACAAGTTTATTCGTGTATACAAAATGGAAAACTAATAAAAGGGGCTACGGAAAAAAACGGAAATACAATGGAACGTCCTATCGTGAGGAGTTGGAGGTCATTCGTTGGCATCTGGCTCCAGGAACTTGGCTCCTGCAAGGGAGACGAAGAATAACGCCTCTAGCGTGACAGTTCCTTAAAACACTCAAGGTGGGATCCCTGCTCAGATCACCGGCTGTTACCTAGTCCCCTCCCTAAGTTGGAGCACTGTCCTCAATGTTGAGATCGACGGTGGGTGAAGGGGCGGTCAACTCAGTGGCGTCTGGGATGACCTGGCTGGCAGGGAGGATGGGTAAACAGTCGGGGGGGGGGCAGGCTTGCAGGCGAGCTCGGTAGAGTTTAATGTTATCGAAGTGTGCGGTGAAGGGGTGAGCGTTAGAATCGCTTCGGAAACAATAATAGCGTTAACGGCCGCGCCGGGAGTTTCGCCTGCAGGGCTGGTCGTGGCGGAAAGGCGGGATTGCGTCCGCGTTAGACACATATACGGCTCGCTGTACTGATTCTTAAATAAAAAAAGACAGTTTAGCCTTCTACCCTGGTTTGCATCATTTCTGATTGCTATGACTATTTGGTTGCCTCCTGACCCTGCATTTTCCCATTTTTCTTACCCTCCGCTTTGTTGTTTTCTAACAAGTTACTCTGGTGCGGCGCTTAAGGTTTTCATCTCTTTTGGTCTCTTGGATTTCCTCTTGCTGCATTTGTTTGTTTTACTGCGCCTTCGGTACGCCCTCCTTTTCGTGTTTCGGCTGTCTCTTTGGGCGTTGCGGTACGTGCAATCCGCGACTTCGATTTTTAGTCCAAGCTCCGCCTGGGATTTTCAAGTAGGTGGTCGTTCCTTAACTTACCGTCTCGTACTGTCTTATCTTGGAAATCGTATGTGTGTAGCGACTGCATATACCGTTTTGCATCAACCTCTTGAACTGCGCATCCAACTTTTCGGGGTCAATGGGCTTAGGGCATGGAAGTTCTGCAAAGTATGCTCTTTGAGAATTTTCGTAATGTCAATGTTTTCGGGCGGCACCAAGTCATGGTTATAGTCCATTGTAAAAGGCGTTGCCGTGATTCACTCCTCTCCGTGGATGACATTGAAAAACGAGCCGCATCCATCACGGCTAGTATCACGATAAAAATGTCGTCATCTCAGATGATTCGATCGCGCAGTCCACCTATCCGTCGGCACGTCGACCGCAGCGGCATCTCACCCAATTTCTGTCCGAGTTGGCTCAGCCGTCGTGGTGGCCAGCTGAAAGACAGACAGGTATGGTTTACCTAGACTTGAATAAGACGTTCGGCTGGCGGGCTGCGGTCTCCGGGAATGGAGCGCCAACGGGACAACTGTTACTAAATGTCTACCCAACGATTGCAGAATATAGGTGGCACTGGTTTTCGATGATTTGGACTCCGGTTTAACAATAACAAGTACTGGTGTATTCTAGTGCAACGTCTGGATCCTGCCTTTATCCTATCTCCTTTGAGATCTCGGACAGCCTGACTCTTTCACTGTCGCCTAAACTATGGTGGCTGTGCTGCCACAGTCCTTCGATGATTTGTGTTGTCTCTGCATTTCATGTGTTCCTGCTTACGAACACGCTGTTAGAATCCTCGGGCCTGGACCGTCACATATGAATGTTGTTAGTCTCTTATTATTTTACGTGCATGGGTGCTGTTGTCCTGCTATTTAAAAACCTATTAATTCACTTTGCTGTCGCAGCACTTCTCACCTCTGTGGTTTTTTCAGTCCAAGTGAGGACACGCACTTTGCTGGGAAATGACAATAGGGCGAACAATGCTTTATGTTTTATTGGCCTGATTTTCCAGTTGTGTGATTCCAAGGTTTCGCGATCGCTTATTTTCTGATGTCAGCGTCTCTGTTCATTGTCTGATGCTTTCTCGGTTTTCGTTTCAGACGTCTGTGGTCCCAATATCCCTGCGGATATACACATTCCACGGTTATATTGATCGATACGATCATGTCTGAGTGTGGCTGCAAGGGAGTCCGTGTCTGCAAGTTATGCGAGGATCGGAAAGCATTTATAACTGTGCCATCTGTGAGTTTGGCAACTGGCCAGTACATTCTTTTCTAAAGGTGGAAGAAAAGTTCGCCGAATTTGCATATTGTGAAAAGTGTGGCCATGTATATATTGATTCCCTCACCTCATCGTCATGCAAAGATCACGTTGACGGACCAACCTTTCATGGAGTTACTCTCCTGCTGGAATTCATTAGTGAAGCTGAGGAGGAAGCTCTGATTCAAGAAATAGACATGTCACCCTGGGTGCCTTCACAGTCTGGGAGATATAAGCAAGTGCGTTTCAGCCCTTTTCTGTTAACGGTTGCACTACTTTTGTCCACTACTTCCTGCGATCGCCCAAATCCTAGTCTGGAAAACTCGGCTCAATTGTAGTAGTTCCGTCGTTTATGCCTATATCAGTCACGGAGATACCGGCCTTATATTAAACCTTACGAGCGCTCGTCGTCCTATTGTTTAGTCCGATGATCGTGTGTAAAAAGAAATGTGTCTGAACAGTAGAACTAAAAAACCAGAGAACTGTTATCACCGCTGTTAAATTGTCTGGCGTTGTCTTAGATCAGACTTCTCATAGTCCGTAAATCGATTAAACAAAAATCTCTAATGCCATTTGGAGGCGCCAATATCATATAGTCAGACGTTTTTCCCTCAGTAACGAACTTAAGCCGCCAATCTCAACTTCCGGTCAGGAGTGTTCTACCAGGCCAGGTGCCATTGAACCGCCGCCGCCGGCTACCTGAGATTCGATGTTCCTTTAATTAGCAAGTCGCATCTTGCATAGTGCGGAACTAATTTTCAACCTAGATTGCATAGTTAACCAATAATGCGCAGAAGTTGGACAATTACGTACCTGAAAATCTGCTATAGTCCGTAAATCAATGAAGGCCACTCCATCCACATTTCGCGAAGCCTGTTGCTCAAGTTCGACTCGAGAGGAAATTTTCCTATTTGAGTGAACTTCGTATTTCTGAAGTTTGTGATTAAGGATTTTTGCAAATCTTAACAGCCAGGTGTTGGTGGGTCGTATGTTTCGCATCTTCCAGCTTGTTAAACACGTACCATACTTTTTCGATGAAGTTTGGGATAGGTTTTGCTGCTGGGAAATACTTCCCAACATAGGCATAGTTCGTCCGGCCATTCGAACGAATCGAGTGGTTTGTAGCCACAGCATAATCTGGAAAATTTTTTCTCTACACTTCTAACGACAATAGGGTATCATTATTTAGCTGTCCAAACGCTGCCAAACTTTCTACACCGTACTCTCACTAGTTTTCTCAGCACTTTTCCCATAAAGAAATCTTTCATAGTGAAATTCGATTTTCGAATGCACAAACAAGCCGAGAAGCTTCAAGAATTTGTTTTTTTTTCAGGACTACGGCGCGAAGGTAAATTTTAAAAAGAAACGCGTCGTCTTGGGTGCCTTTACAGGGCTGCCTAGCTACAGCCGAAACTTAGTTAAACGACTCCACCAACGCATGCGAGAGACTGATCCCTCCTTTAGGGAATTCTATCCGGCCGAGCTCTGCAATCTGGAATATCTACCGCAGCGGGGCGCAGCAATAGTTCCTCACCTTGACGATAGTTGGCTCTGGGGTGAGAGAATTGTGCTACTCAATCTAGCCTCCGAGACGAACATGCTTTTTACTCTCCCGATGAAGTCGAGTTCGCTCTCTGATTCGCCAGCAGCGGATGAACAGGATCGCTACAAAGAATTCTCCAATAAATTTCTGCCTGATGAAGTTGTAAGTGTACGCCTCGTTTCATGCGTATGTTCATATTCCACCTCTGACCCATAGACGACACCGCGACGCCAGTTGCGGCAACTGGAACCTAGGATATCACCGATGTTCCATTCATTCATCATCGTGTGCAGCGCAATCGTTTGGCTAGGAAGGGCACGGTCGTCGAAAGGCGTGATCCATGGTCGCTGTGCGGCCCGTAATGGGCACGAAATCTATGACATCCAAGTGCCGTCTGCTCATAGTTGAGGTCCATGCTTTTATTCGACTCTACAGCACAAGTGGGGGGTCTGAGCATTGCGAATTATCATGATTTCTCCTTGGCTACTACCTAGCACAGTACCTCTATGGCGCAACTACTGTCGATGTTTGACACAAAGTCTCCTTGACCGATTAGTGAGGCGGAAATTTTGGCTCGCCTGGCCGTTCGGGCTCATTCTCCAATTCATTATCAGAGAGACCAACAGATAGAAGTAGCAGACACATGGAGCTTACAGTCCCTACACAGCCACACATCTGCTAAAATGACTGGCTCGCGCATTTATTGTGCTTGGTATGGTGATAGCTTGCTTACCTGCATTCGAGTCGTTAATGGGCGCGATTTCATCATCGCTACTGATGTTTGGCGCGTTAACCAGTCAGTCATTTGGCTCACCGGTACTTTCACTGGGGGCAGCGTTTGCGCACTCACTCCCATTGTGACTGTTCTGTTCAGGCAAGCTTTTAACTCTGAATACCGTGGGAGGGATCATTACAGTTGTTGATAGACTACTGACTTGAGAACCACAACTTAAGGGAATCCTGACTCATGGGGTTGCCACCTTCCGCGGGAATTTCGACCTCACCATCAGGAGGTCAGCAACGCACTAAAAAGGCACCAGTTCTATGTCGCTTGCGAATTCAGCCCCTTAACATCGCTGATACGTAAAGTTACAATGTTATTGGTAATTGAGAACGCATGTTTTCAACCAACAGGCGCATGACGAATTCGTCAAAGGATCCTCACCCGATTCTGTGGTCTCCCTAAGGCGCGCAAATAAAGATCTCCCAGATCACTTGTATCACTCAAACACACTAACAGGTCGGTAGTAGTTGTTTCTCTACCCCAAATTTTTGACTGCTGATTTAGACGCCACAGTGAGTTTGCCAACACATTTGTTGAAGAACCTTAAGGGAGTAAATCTGTCAAATGAACTTACCGTATTTGTGGGTGTCACACCCCTCTCTCCATATGTTTCCTAGATCTGGCAGTCGAGACCACCGATCTACTTGTCGAGAACAAATACAATGCGACAAACGGTCGTATTGGACGCGTCCAAGTTCTCCAACCCGATCTAGTGAAGTTTCAGAAAAAGTAAGTCCATCCGAGAAACTATATTATTCCAGACGCACACGGGCGAACGCTGCATCAGTAAGGAATGACATGAACTGTACGGGAGCGGGCCATCTTGCAGTTCGATGAGGCTTAGATTTTCGCGAGCTGACAAACTCTTGGGCTGCTGGGGTCGCGGTTTTCAAGCTAACTCGTGCATTGGTCTCCCCTCTTTACACTAAGTGTTGGAGCTTTGCCTGGGTAGAGTAATTAGTTATACTGGGAGTGGGCGCATGAAGCTGTTTCCGGTTAAAGTACTGGTGAATCAAAAGACCGGGTGATTGCCGCGCCGACAATCGGTATTGACGATGAAATCACGCTCACTAACGACTCGAATGGAGGCGAGCAAACTACTACCACAGCAAGTGCAATGAATACGCGAACTACCCACCTTAGTAGATGTGTGGTTTCGTAGCGACTGCACACCCTATGCGTCTGCTATTTTGTTGGTCTCTCCGAAGATAACGGGATAAACCCGAACACACGGGCGACATTTCTGCTTCGGTGGTCGAGCCCGTTCTCTCAACCGCCCTCCAGAACCCGCCTTCTCGCGTATATTGACAATGATCTGTCTATCTAGCCTCTGCTAGCCAGACTGTTTTCTGTGCTGTTCGTTTAAGTAGCGACAGACGTTTGAGTGATCTAGTCACGACCTAAAAACAGCGCGTCGAGAATCACGGATCACTCATTTGAAGGTGTTGTGGTTGGTGTGATTTCATTCCCACCGGTGACAGCCCATTCCGGATTTACGTGTCTATGTCGGTAGCCCACTGCGACAGCCCGGTGGTTGTGAGAGTCAGGCTTCTGACGAGTTGCAGAAGCATCGTTCGAGTCTGCAGTCTACGTTTTTTAGTCTGACCTATGTCTGGTTTGTTGATGTGTCAAGTCCTCGTACTTATATGCCCAACCAATTACCGTATTTCATGTATCCCAAGCTCCAGATCAGTTATTTAAGCAATCTTATCCGGCACCTTCAGTTACTACGCAAGTTCCCGACAAGGCATTAAAACAAGTATAATTTAAAGCCGACAGCCTTCTGAATGCCCTTCCCCTTTTTAGGCTCGATTGCCCCCAAGGGTGACGGTTCATTTACCTCGCAGATGTCTCCTTATAATGTCAGGTCCGCCGCGGCACCTGTGGTTGCACGAAATCAATCGGAGGGACATCAAAGCCCGCCGAATTTCCCTGACACTGCGTGAACTAAGCTACGAGTATCTGCCCAACCGTGAACATCTTAAACCCTACGCATCCGACAACGACGCTCCCAGCAGCGACACTGCGGAGACAGACCTGGAATCCCATCCCCTCACACCGCAACAGTGCGTAGGCCTCAGCTTGATCAAGCTGGCCACGACGTACAATGGTGTTTGCGTGGGAATGAAGACCGGACAACCCTGTGCCACGAAATTAAAAATATGATTAGAGAACATATGTACTTCTCTCTTTTGCGCTGTGACCGCTCCGTCTAACTTTATCGGCAAATGAGCGCAACTGAAGAATCTTCAACCATAGTGCCATAGTACCTACATTGGAGGTAGCACCAAATTCGAAGGGAGTGAGATGAAGGAACGTCAAATTGAAAATTCGGTTTTTCGATCGTCAACTATTCTATCGCAACGAGATCAGCACTGCAATTGTACAAGCTGACTAACTCAATGCTGTTGTATCAGCCGTTTTAGGAGGGCAGGAACTGCAAAAAATTGCGGTACGAGGCGCACTGGTGCATTGAAATTTCAGACAAAAAATAAGGCGTGAGGCAAGAAGATATAATGAAGAGAAAAGCAGTCAGTACAACTCATTAAAGCAATCCGTGGCTATGTACAACCGTCAAAGGCGCCTGGTTGGTCGATTACCGTTTTCATGCAGTCGGTTTCATTTATTCAAACCATGGACTTTGACTGACCAGAAATCGCCGAGGTAACCTGGAGAGGGGGTAAGTTTAAGGTGAACTGGATTTCTGACTAGTCAGTCCATGCGCGTGCGACTCAACTTAGTTACGGTACGTCAGAGGAAAAAGCATGTAAGCGGAGATTAAGTGCAAAAAGGGCAATCAGGGAGTCGGGCACTCGAACAAACTGACGACAGCTGGCCATTATTATCTTTAGCCAATTGTGTCGAACCTTGGACTACAAAAAGATGCCTATATCAGGGTAGAAAGTCCATAAAGTATCTTAGTGGCTATTAATGCTCGAAAAGGCAGCCGAGGACCCTTGTCCAACCTTTACACCCACATGCACAGTAATTATGTGGAGGGAGAGATTCAGATGAGAACTGCGGGTGACAGACTAGGCCGTAAGTGTGCAAGCGAAGCCAGAATTCGCAGCCAGTTGGCGGTTTCCTGTCAACACTATTCAGAGGTAACTGGGTCTACGTGTCGGAATCAAGTTCTTTTTGGCTGTCCCGAGAAAACGGAGGCCGACTCGATAAATACCTTTCAGATACACATTATTAGTGAAATCACAAGGCTAGACACCTGGTAGGACGGCAAATGACCTCACCAACTTTGTTCTGCATGAACCACGAAATATCCGTTCGTGGTGTGTAATGATCGGCAAAGCTACTCGTCAAGTATTTCCAGACGCTGGTGCGCGACTCGAACTTTAGGGCCGTTACACAAAACCGGCATTAGGAATCCAGACTAAGAGCGGGAGGCAAGACAGTCTGACGGAAGCCAATGATGAGGTCGTCGAGGCCATCAACATGCCTCGGTTATATG